TCCTTGCCAAAAAAGATACTTTAGATGAACCTCGACTTCAGAGGTGACCTACTCAGTGGTATCCTTCAGAGGAGAATTTCCACTGCTTTAAGAAGAACTTTCCTCGTGTCAACACTGAGAATAGTCCTCTTCAGTCGCTCACCGATCTGCAGAAGCCCAAAGGACATGATCTCACACCTGACCACTTCTATGTGTATATATTAGTTCACTTGATGCTATGGAGTCAGGTAGATTGGTCGTTCGATGCGCATCCTGTCAAAAAGGGTCAAATAACACTATCCAGTGTGGCCGCAGAAGGGAAGTAGTGGCCGTAAAAGGAGTGCAATAATCGAACATGTCGTCACCACTGGTCACTCCATCACAACAAACGCCTCCTTCAAAGTAATCTAAAAAGGGGAGAACAACCTGCGAAAGACAATACGTTTCCGTCTTTTTTGCATTGCAGAAGTCCTAGCTATCCAGTAAGAAGAACCAGACCTATGCATACAATAGAAAATTATTCAACCACTTCTTCTATTATGGCAACAGCTCTGTTGATTTGACCCAACCTCTGCTTGTTGGCTTGTTTTTTCTATTTAAAACTCTTGTATTCCTTTAAAACTTTGACGTAATTCCGTATGTTACTTTGTTTCCATGTACACCCTGAGCACAACTCTCTCATCAAACTATTCATGTTGTTACATAACTCTTCTTTAACAATCGTTTGTGACAATTCATCACTTTTGTTACTACCACCTTATATCAACATCCAGTTCATCTGAGCACCTTTTGTATTACGTAACTCCACCAAAAACTTACTAATTGTATTTTCGCTTGACAGATTTAATGTACACACACATAGAAAATAACCATATATATATATATATTGCGATTGTACAGCTATGAAATTGAATTCGCCGAAAATAGACTCTTCGCTGAATTACTGGTCTTCTCTCTAAAAATGATTAATGTAAGTAAAGCAAGCATAACAGTTTGTGTAGAATAAGATTGCACCATCATTTATTTCATCAGCATCTCATCAGCTGACCACAGTTTGAACAAATTACTAAGTTTATGTGCAGAACATTTTCCCCTATTTGCAAATATTCCCTAATGTTAGTTGGTAACACAATCCAAAATTAATCAACAGTACACAGAAATTGCACTAATGTAATTTATACAGAGAAGGTTCAAATGTAAATCAAACATGACCACAAAAATAAATGTTCGGATACGATGAATGGAAAAGCAGTTGCGTAACAAAAGATGGATAAGATGATATGTGACTAATAAGTTACATAGAAATGTGGTGAGTTTAATTTGAATCGTAGGAAAAAAATAAACAAAATACATTATAACGGAAAAGGAAGAGATTAAATCTCAGTGATGAGCAATCAGATAAAAGAGAGAGTAAAGAAATCAAGTTACCAGGGCAAAGAAAGATAGATAACTGCTTTTTTTTTAAACATTAATCGGGTTTAGAGCGTGTGATAGAAGTTGCTTTGGAAAACTTGGGAAGAATTGAACTATATTGTTTATTGATAATTTTACAGGATTTCGGAGTGTCCACCACATGACTTATATCGACGCGATGCTTGGCAATGGCACTATTATAAGAGTTTGTGCTTTTAGACTAGAACTTGTGCTACATGTTCAGAGAATCGATGGATGGTATTCCCTTCCTCCTGTTCTTCCAATGTAACTGTTACCACAGATACATGTAAATTTGTATATACACTTACAGCTGACATATGAAAGGTATCTGTTGACTTTCGATTGCAATGAAGGACATGTTGTTCAAAAATAGGAACCAATTCAGTCGTATGATTAGTTTTGGCTAGTGAAGTATTCAACCCTCTCTTGAATAACCCTGAAAATAATCTCCTTCGTAATCAAATTGTATAGCAACAGGCTTCTTTTTCATTGTGCTTTTTAATAAACTTCTGTAGGTAACCATTTTTTTCAAAATCTCTAGGGTTAGAAATTTTTCCTGAATTTTCTTTTTTTATTCCTTTACGTTCCCAGTGGAATATAGGGCTTCAAACCAGAGGCTTGAAGTTTCCGTAGCAGTTGTGTTTATTTCTACAGGATGGGCTTGCTAGTCTCATGCCCAAGCTTCCCTCTTTACCAGTCTTATTACTGGCTTAGCAAGGCAAAGGAGTGCGTCGGCCGGGGATCGAACCCTGGACCACATGCGTTTTCAATGAGCATTCTACCGTTGTGCCACCGACGTACATATTTCTTAGTAGAATATATTCTTCTGAGTCTTTAAAACAGAATTCTAACCAATGCTTGATTCTTGTTCACAAGGATCTCATTTAGTGAAACTGTTGATATTATGATGATGTCTTTGTAATTTCTGTGTCTCTTAAGCTTTCAGTCTCCTATAAACTGACAACCTATCATATTTTCACTTCCCTTGCAATAGCTCTGGACATAAATTTGATGAATTTTTTAGGGCTCTGAGAAGCTGAAGAGAAGCCGACGAAATAAATGATTGTGCTATCTTATTTGGTGCAAATAGCTGCTATGCTTTATTCAAATTCATCAGTGAGAAAAAGTGTATGAAACGTGATCAGTAATATAATAATAATAATTTCAAGTAAGAAATAAGACTACGTGACATGTGTGACATTAAAACATTTATCACTTTATATCCTGGAGAAAAGTTCTTTCGTCTATCATCATAATTAAAATAGATTGAAAGATAATTCTAAGGTGATAGGTCAGGCTTTGATGAGTAGAACTCTTCCACTCTGATCTCTTTGAGTTTATGTGAATAAACAGAATTTTTTTCCTTCACGTTCCCCAGTGGAACATAGGGCTTCAAGCTAGTGGCTTGAAGTTTCGGTAGCAGTGTTTATTTTTACAGGATGGGGTTGCTAGCCTCATGCCCAACCTCTGATATAAGAATAAACTCGGCACTGTGGTAGAGTGTAATTCCATTATGGGTAATTTTTTGATAAGTCTCACAGTGTTATACAGTAATATTTACTGATGACTTTTCGAGCACAATTTATTGCTCATAATCATATCAATCCTTTTCTCTTCACCAGCATTATTTCTGGCTTAGCGAGGTAAAGGAGTGCGTCGGCCAGGGATCGAACCCCGGACCATGTGCATAGTCGGCGAGCGTCCTAACCTCAATGCTACCGCCGCCGAATAAACAGAATACTGTTGTGAAATTATTAGGCCTCAGACAAAAGAATTACCACACCAAAAGATGGAAAAAACTTTTTTAAAAATCTGAACAAGAATGGACTCATATTCCTTGTTCTCTTAAAGATCCATAATTAAATCACACTATTCACTGAGAAAACACTTATGTGCTGATTAAACTGGCTTTCATGACGAAAAATGTCTGTCAATTTAAGCAGTCCTACTGTCTATACCGTAAAAAAAGGTAAGTCTTTTCTACAATATTTTACGTTTGAAAGGCTAAAATTTACACGGATAAAATTAACAAAAAGCAAACTGTTAAAGTAGCAACTTTAAATGAAGAATGATTGAAATATCGGCTATCATGTGTTACCGCTCTTAAAAAAACAGTATCATTCAAAAAGGAAGCCACATTGGGCATGAACGCACACCATAATATAACAACAAACAGCATAGCCATAATAATCATCAACACTCTAGAATGTTGTATGTTTATGTATTCTTTTTCAGTTAACTACTTATGAATTAAAAGTATATGCATATTTCTCTTAAGAGTAGTGTACATAAAAATGTCTGAATAACTGTCAGTCTCCTCCATGATAGACGGAATTACCATCAGTGTTAATTAGAAAAAAACAAGTATTTTAGTATTTTTATCCATATAACCATGGTTACCTTGTTTCATAACATATGTTTTCCTGATTTTTATCAAAATAATATTTATATGAGGTAGATTTCTAAGTTTATCTAGTACAATGAACAATACTACACCCATCACATGGTTAACTAGTTTATATTGGATTCAGTCACCACTGTTTTACACCGTTAAACTAAAGAGTGTGTTATCTTTTTGTATTTTTGGTGTTTGTTGTGCCCATGTACGAGTTCATGAAAAGAATGGTTTTACCAGTAAAAAAACTATACCAATTTCTTCAAGTAGTGAAGAGTGTTATTTTCTTATCTCTTGTTTTATTACTCCTCTGAGTTCCAAGTGGAATACGCAGCTTCAACAGAACATGTGCGTTTCATCCTGTTCTCTGTAGTCATCTGTATCTGGTTACATAAGTGCCCATAAGCTCTCATCCCCTCCTCAGATGACCTCTTCCATGTCACCCTCGAACTGAAGCCCAACTCATTGTTTCTCACTTCAGTTCCACTCGAGGGCCTGGCATGTGATTTCTCTGAATGGTTTTCTCAGCACACGTCAGATCCACCTCCATTGCCCTCTGAATATTTTTGGGGGATGGGTTCGTTGTTGATTCTTTCCAATAGTTACTTGTCAGAGACCGTACCATGTGGAAAACACCTGCTCTTGTCCGATTACAAAAGTTAAGCCTGGCTAGTACTTGCATACATGACCAACTAAGAATACCGAGTGTTTCCGGCTTTTAGCACGCATTTTTGTCAACTGGACCCAAGTCCGGAAAAAGAAGGGAGTTGGACGTGAGACTAGGGACTATACCCCAGAAAATCAACCCAATCGCCATAGAAAATTGAAACTACAACGAAAATATAAAGAGTAGGCTTATTCTTCTCTAGAACTAGAGGGACGAAATAATGCTATCTGGTGAAAGCCTTCGGGAAGTCAGCCAGACAGTGTATCTTCTCTCAATGAAAGGAAAAATAAGCATGGGGATAAGGAATCTCCACACGAAGGAGGACTGCTCACACTGCTGGAGAGATGAGAAGATATAGCATGGAAGTGCTAGGAATCAGCTAATTTTTTATTTCTAAATCAATATCTGTTGAATATTTTACCATGAGATGGTATACACCTGCAAATATTTATTATGTTCTGTCCCCAAAACAATATCACGCTACGGGAAAGTAGAGATCTAGTCTCAATAAAAACTGAAACTTACCTTCATACCAATTTCTCCAAACAGCATATTCTTCACATTTTAACGCTTGTTTTCGCAATACTGGCAGCAGACCAGATGGGAAAAAATCTAAAAGTATATTTAAAGTAGTAAAGTAAAATGTCAATAAACAGTTTGATAGGAAAGGGAAAAAGAACTAACACTAGATATAATAATAATAATTTGCTTTATTCCAGAAACAGTACTAGTGGTACAGTGAATACAAGCATGTAATGCATCATTTACAGCCTCCGCTTTCCAACAATATTCCCAACTGTTTGCTACATATAATAAAGAACATTTTTCAATAAACCAAAGGTTAACAGTTTTGTATAACTTTGGCTTATATGTCCGGTTTCCAGGGTGTTACAATATTTGAGAGTAGCACTGTAAACTAAGAGGCTATTGAAAATGCTTCGATTGTTATAGTTATTCACCTTTGTATTGAATAAATCGACCGTTATTTATAAAATTATATTTATTATATTATTTTGCAACTATCCGGTCAAATCTTGATCACAGTTCATATGAAATCGACCGTTACTTTAAAAAAAACAAATATCTAAGCAGATTATAATGAAAGAATATAATTAAATAAGTGAAGTTCAGTTGCTAAGAATTTTTTTCCTTCACGTTCCCCAGTGGAACATAGGGCTTCAAGCTAGTGGCTTGAAGTTTCTGTAGCTGTGTTCATTTTACAGGATGGGGTTGCTAGCTTCATGCCCAACCTTTACTCTTCACCAGCATTATTTCTGGCTTAGCGAGGTAAAGGAGTGCGTCGGCCGGGGATCGAACCCCGGACCATGTGCATGGTAGGCGAGCGTCCTAACCGCTATACCACCGACGCACGTATTTCCTAATTGGTTTATTCTTATATTACGGTTATTATTCACTACTTAAGTAACTATTGGGACAGAGGGATTCAGAGGCACATCTCCTTTGACCTATACAACTGAACACAAGCTTTCATTTCCTTTTCACGTGATCTACATGTCACCTTTGTACGCTCAACCTGTTGCTTTCCATTCAACAGTCTGGTAGGCATGTCACGCCATTTGACTATCTTTTCAGGATGCATCCAGTCCACTTCTATTTCCTTCTGTGGATTTGTTCGGTGACTGTTTCTTGGTTGGTTCACTGCTTATACTTTCCAGCATGCTGTTCATCTGAAATTCTGCACTGACCAAAGGCAGCTGTTTATAGAACTACGCAGCCTATAGGAAACGTCTCTGGACCACATAGAAGCGGTAACCTGATATTAACGTTGAAAATTTGGATCATATTCGTTGTGCTAAGTTCTGTGGATATCTACATGCCCGTCTTACTTTTTTACGCTGGCTTACACATCTTCGTTCGTGCCTGTGTTAAGAAACGATGTTGTACAGGTGAGAGAAGTGACTTCCTGTAGATTTCATCCATCGAAGGAGATTGCTGTTTGCTGACAGGTCGGATCGTTTATCTTCATACTGTCTAGTCTTACACTCTTACTCCAATTAAAAGGCATTAAACTAATTCATAATTATTTGACAAAATTTAGTACCACCTCACTAAATCTTATACTCCTAAGCAAAATATAGTGAATGAAAGGCAAGTGTATAATCTTGAAGAATTTCTTCTATTATGCCTAGATTCCTGCTGGATTAGATATTTAAAATATTCGGAAAAAAGCGAAGAGATTTTAAACAACCTTTGCCATTGAATTAAAATCAGATAGCTTCTATTGAAATGTGATGGCTGAGCTTCCTGTGCTTACTGCATGAGGTATTAGACACTTTTTACAAATATCAACTTGTTTAGAAGTAAAAAGCCACACTACATTTCGCTAACCTTCATGAAAGTCACACTTCCACTCCTCATCTACATGTACGTGCACCTCCAGGGACGGATTGTCTTCCTAGTGAGACTCCAAAGCAGTACCCAACATCCTATTTAGGAGCCAATGTGTCCACAATTACCGGTTAAGGAAAGTCAATCGCCGGCAAATTAGAAATAATTTCAACCAATAAATGTGAAACACCTTCGTTATCCAATGTAATCAAGTCCGGAAAAATATACGTATTTGTATCTCTGAGTGCTTCTTCACACATGATAAGACAGTGACTCAACTGGAACTATCCAGCTTCAAGTAATTCTATTTACCAAAGATAATTACAGAAAATAAAACCAGTCATATATAAGTCCTACAGGAGATCTGTCGCGTGCCCGAATAGCTGAGTGGTAACGTCTCTGACTGCAACACTGGGTGATACGGGTTCAAAACTCAGAGGGGGCATGAATACCGTCAAGATCGCCGATACACCTTCATAATGAGTGTGAAGAAACACTAAACCTAGGAGCAGGGCTTCCTTTCAATTGCCTCCAACCATCTAATTACAACAATTCAGAGTGGCCACACTGCAAACTTGGCTAAGAGAATTCAATCGGCATCAAACAAAGGACTAGACGCATAACACCAGTTACTAACTACCAAGTGTTCAGTTAGAGGAATGATGAAAATCTCCAAATATATCAGTCGCCTTGATTACTAGGGACTTAAATTGAACTATTCCATTTAAATTCCATCAACTGTGGGCATCATTTTCGATCACTAAAATGACAGAGACCAAGCTAACTTAGATTAAATATTTATCTCCACCTATTAATCAATAAAAAAATAATTCAGCAAAGAATATCTTTTTCGATGATTTTCGCTTCTAGCTCTCTAATATATATATATATATATATATATACGTAGAATAGTAGTCAGTAACAATATTACTATTTTTTTAAATAATATCGATTTGTTAAGTAAGATCAATGGAATTACAGTTCATTAAAGATGCATAAATTATAATAATAATTTAGTAGCAAATAGAATATAAACTAAAATTCAGGAAATTCTCACAAAAAATTGAGGATCATTCGAACATAGATGGCCAAGGTAAGAAAATGTCTGAACTAGCTTCTTTTGGACACATAAATTGGGCTTCTTAATGTGGATCTCAACAGCCTCAGCAATATTTAGTAAACGAACTCTTAAGGCGAAGTTAAGATTAGTTGGTATATGGTAGATGACTTTGAAAGCCTTGTTGACATCAATCTTGTGTTCTGTATCCATGAGATGAGACAGAATCTAGCTGTGAAAGTTCTGGAATGACTGCTAATAAATTGTTATGTATTAAATAAAATCTCGGAAGTAAGCAGTGAACATAAGATTTTTCACTTAAAAATGACAATAAGCAACGAGCACAGAACAAGCATATTCTTAACATTTACTAACCACAATTCCGCCTGATAATAAAATCTAGGTTAGGATAGACCACATACAAATAATATAGATAAAAATAAATATTCCACTTAGGACTACTCACGCTCTATACTGTAATGGTATCCTACGCTCTAACCTCATAAGAAATCAGGAATGACACGTACTATTTTTAAACATGATGGAATTCTACAGAACGAATTAATTTCATTCTGTCTGTTTACAATATCAAATTTATGCTGCTGTGAAGCAACAAATATCTACTTAATTAGAGTGTAGAAAAAAACACAGATAAGTTTGAAAATGTAAAACGTTGATGATATTAGATGGTTGGAGGCAATCGGAAGGAAGCCCAACTGGACCTAGGTTTCGTGCTAGTTGGCACTCACCAGTCAGCAAGGCGTACCTGCAATCTTGAAGGAACTCATGTCCCTTCTGAGATTCGGACGCGCATTACCCAGTGCTGCAGTCAGAGACGGCACCACTGAGTTATTCGGGCTCGCGATTGACCTCCTGTCAGACTGTATTGGATACTTTGATTGGACACTAGATACGCCTTGCTGACTGGTGAGTGCCAACTAGCACGAAACCTAGGTCGAGCAAGGCTTCCTACCGATTGTCCCTAACCATCTAATATCATCAAATTAATGTGCACCATGATGGCGAGCTCAGCAACAGGGATCTTTGGGAGCGAACCAACCAGCAGGAACCGATTGTGAAACAAATAGGCAGGAAGAAATGGAGATGGATTGGCTGGTCATACTCTGAGGAAACCATCAAGTGACATCACTAGACAAGCCATCACTCGAGTGGAACCCGAAAGGGAAGCGGCGAGTTGGTCGTCAGTGCAAGGGTGACTTGGAGGAGGTCATGTGAAGAGGAGATGAAAACGTGTGGGCAGACATGGAGCCAGGTGAAGACTCTAGCAGAGAACAGAACGCAATGGAGACGCATGGCTGAAGCCCTATGTTCCTGTAGGAATTAAAGGATATAATAATAATAATGGCGAGTACCTAGAATGGTGGTCACACTGCAAACCTGACAGACAGAATTCAGTTTGCACCGAAGAAAGGAGTAGACACATGACACTAGTTACTAGTGTCCATTCAAAGTGTAGAACATTCTTCATCAAATTGTTTTCATCAATGTACACGGAGATTTTTAAAAAATAATTAGAGTATATTAGTTAGAGGTCACTGAAGGTCCTTAGTTCGACCTCTGGTGGTAGGGCTGCGATTATGTACTGGTGAAGATTTCCAAATTAGAATGAAACAGCTTTTCAATTCTCCCTGGTTTTTAATGACCTTTTTTATTCCTTTACGTTCCTAATGGAACACAATTCTTTAAGCTAGAGAATTGAAGTTTAGGTAGCAGTGGTGTTTATTTTTCCGGGATGAGGTCGCTAGCTTCATGCCCAACCTTCGCTCTTTATCAGTCCTACAACTGACTTAGTGGGGTAAAGGAGTACGTCGGCCGGGGGTCGAACCTTGAACCACATGCGTGTTCAGTGAGGATTCTACCGCTGTGCCACCGACTCACGGTTTTCAATTAATTTATTCCAAATCCTTATAAAAGGGTATAATCTAAACTGTAGGATAATTTTAGAGACCAAATGGCTTCAATTTTATTCAATTTTCAAAACAAAATGAAACTTATTTACGAATTATCGAAAAATTTTAAGATCGTATATTAGTGTTTTAGTACACGTAAGTTTGAATCAGAAATCATGCGTTGAATATTGATGCTGCTTTAGGCATGAGAACGAGGGATCTTTTTGTTTGATTAGTTGAAGGATTTCACCATGAATTGACATCAATTAGAGAACCATTGTCCAGTAATTCCTGCA